GCAACCATAGAGTAGGTAGCCTAAGGTAGGCAATCACTACCATGTCCGAGACAGTGGGACTCTTAAGTCATGCTTATAAAATTTTTATGATTAACATATATAGTCAAACGGGGTAAAAAGGAATGGGTGGGGTAAAAAGAGACAGTCCTCCAACATTTTGTAGAAATGTTGTAGCAGCTACACTTATCAGAATATTGCAATATTAAAAATAGTAGTATAAAGTTCAACATTTTTACTATCAATGCAGCATAAAGCAAGTTGAGAAATCATACATTTATTAACTCTAAAAAATCCCTGAAAAAAGTGTGAAAAGTGAGATTTTGGAAAAGTACCTCTGCTAAGGTCTGTAGCAGAAAAAATATTTGTCATATATTGAAAAATCTTACTTACATAAAAGTTGCACACTTGTGTTGGCTTAAAAACGTGATTGACAGAATTTGCATATCTCATTCCAAGAAAAAATGGTGGCCATTTCCGCAAAAGGGGGTAATAAGGGACACCCTTAAAACTGCATTTACAGCCACACTCAGGAAGATGTATATAAACGGGAAAATTTATCGCGTAAATCAATCTAATTATATTTTTTTCGCGCAGGCGTTCATGCAAATCACGGTCATCGATTCCGCACCACGCAGCACTCGGCGCGGGCCGCGGAGCCGTCCAACCCAGTTCTGATTTAGACACAGTTTTCATCTGAATGGAATGGCAACATCGTCTGTAGATGATTTCAAGTAACGCTGAACCAGCATTGACAGATGGTATATTTCTATACCAGATTTCACAAATCTGGTATTTTCAAAAGGTGTCTTGTATGAATATTTTAGATCTGGTATACCGGTATATGCCTAAATCTGGCATTTTTCTGGTATTTTCTGACTTACTGCATTTAGTTCCACCTCTGAAGTTTGAACTTCCTCCAGCGTAGGCGTGGATTATATTATTATTTATATGAATTGCCTTCAGAGCGGCGCGATTAGAGCTTTCCCGCCATTTTTGGAACCGCAAGTTTACCGCAAGTTTTCATGTCAACCGGAACTCGAACACCACAGCAGAGAGTATTTTATGCAGCTAATGAATTTCGCAAACTTTGCTGGAAGAGAGATTATTGAATTTTAGAAAAAAGGCGGGATAATTCAATNTAAAAAAAACATTTATTGCACCTATTCGTTACGTCAGCTTTCAAAATGAGGATAAACTCATCGACAATCGAAAAAAGTTCAAGAAACTTATCGAAGAAGAAGGAATGCACATCACACTTGACTGACTAGACAGAAGACCGGTATCGTACTTGGAAAATTTAGCATTCAAAACTTTAGATTCTGTGAACCTCGTAATTTATACATTATTAGAACTTTAGACGGCTCACAATATATCATGTAAAATTTTCACTCAATAATAGTCTCGAAGTGTATGAATAAAACCTAAGAAGTATACAACTGAAGTCAGAGCTTTGCAGTTACCATATCCACCGGTTGCATGAGAACTAAGTCAACTAACCAGGCTGAGCCCCACAATCAGGATAATGCAGGTTTTCGGGGAATTTTCCTGCGCATATCAAGTTTTTTAACCGAATGGTTGGCGCAGCTCGCGCACAGTCATCTAAATATTTTTTCTTCTTCGCGCAGGCGTTCGTGCAGATTCTGGTCATCCATCACACCCCAAGCAGAAGTTGGCGCATATAAAGTTTGTCAAGGAACCAACAAAAAACTCAAAATATCTGATATGCATTTAATTATCCATCAACAATATATGATTTTCCTTTATATGAAAATTTTCCAAAATAAAAATCCTCTTGATTGATTGAAGCCATTCATATTATACAAATGCTTGTTGTTTGTCTCAATCATCTATATAATTTAATAAGTAACCTCTGAATAAATTGGTTTGTGAATAATTTTGTTATAAAGTCGAAGACTTCCTAATTCTCACTATTATTTACCTCTTTTCGAGATCTTTAATCATTTCTACTTGGCCACGAATTTAAATCTGACATACCATTTTTCATCATAAATTTATTGAGTTAACTCATCGATTTTCTATCTCCTGATATAAATTAGGAATTGGCCAGGTTGACTTTTTGCCAGAGTGGCGGTAAACGGCGCATTGATTTACGGTTCTAAAAGTCAGAACAGCAAACTAGTTAGCAAAGGAACAATGACAACACATGGAGGTAAATTCTATAGTTACTATATTATAGAAAAATCTAGTCTAATACAATTGGACAGTCGGCAGAGCACAATTTACACGAAATATGGTCCTATACTGCCACACCAAAATATGTAGCTCAGACAGAGTTACACAGGGGAATTTCCCGACATAGTATTTGTGCTCAAAATATCTCCTATCCCGACCTATCTACCCAGTTATTTCACCTCTATGACTCTACGGAAAATAAGATAGTTTCTAACAGTTTCCCGGAGTACATCACCGAAAATTTGGAGATGGTGAGGCCCACTGCGCAGCTGTTGGCGAGTTTTCCAAGGCTAAGCGACGGCGGAGATTAGAAATTGGAAGTCTTCAGTCCGCGTTCCCTGGTGTGCGTGTTATTTGGGGTGATGCGTTCTTTCATGCTGTGGCCTGTAGATACTGGCTTCCGAAATAAAACTCTATCTCGGTGGAAATAGGTTTCTTCGGTTGGGAGATTGATGTTTAAAAAAAAAGCGTGAGACCCGTTGCAGTTCCGTTGAGCCGTACGACTGTTGTAAACGACCGAAGATTCGAAATTGGAAGTATTCAGTCCGCGTTCCCTGGTGTGCGTGTTATTTGGGGTGATGCGTTCTTTCTTGCTGTAGCCTGTAGATACTGGCTTCCGAAATAAAACTCTATCTCGGTGGAAATAGGTTTCTTCGGTTGGGAGATTGATGTTTAAAAAAAAGCGTGAGACCCGTTGCAGTTCCATTGAGCCGTACGACTGTTGTAAACGACCGAAGATTAGAAATCGGAAGTCTTCAGTCCGCATTCCCTGGTGTGCGTGTTATTTGGGGTGATGCGTTCTTTCTTGCTGTAGCCTGTAGATACTGGCTTCCGAAATAAAACTATCTCGGTGGAAATAGGTTTCTTTGGTTGGGAGATTGATTCTTCTCTTGTGCTATCAAACACGCCTCCTATTTTCCGTGTTGTCCTGGAAAAACTCCAACACGAGATTTCTGCACAGACTCGGCGATCTAAATTCCGCACACAACACGATGTCCTCTCGGCACGCTAGCCGACTCGCACTGAGCTGCCTCTTCTCCTACCTCTCTCCTTTTATAGCCCCGTTCGCTACCCGCGTGAGGCGTCCTACACCCGCTTTGTTTTGAATTTTAAACCGTCGGCTTCAATCAATCTTCAACGGTTCTACATATATTAACAATTTTGAGATACTATGAATTTCTATACTAATCA